AGGCGGACCCAGCGGAAGGCAGGCTGGCCAGGGCAGGTGTCGGTGCAAATAGCCATTCCCAGCCGTTTCGCCTTGGAAAGGTCCTTCTGCACAGTTATTCTTAACGCTAAAATTCGTAAAAGCGTTAAAGGGCAGCCTCTGCGATCCTGGGTTTGGCCATGGGAACTTTAGCCATATTCAGCGTAGGCACATGCCAGTAAGAGACTGGGTTTGGTCATAAAGCTTTTAGCAATATTCAGCCACAGGGGAATAAGAGATTCGCGGTTAGCAGCGGGGGCCGACGCCTGGATGAACGGAGGTGACTTCTCCGTCCGGGCTGAGCCTGCCTCGGGCTGCAGGTGAGGAACAGAGCAAATATTTCTGGCGGGCCTGATGCCGCAATCCCTTACCCTGGCTGCTCTCTGATAAAGCTCCTGTTTACCCTGCAGCCATTCAGACAGAGGAACTGGAAAAGCAGAGTCTCCTCTTCTCTGTCTAGGCAATAGGTAGCAGGATTTGCTTTATGAAAGGAAAAGCCAGGATTTACTGGGTTATAAACTGTCAAAGTTACATATCCAGAGCTGAAGAGTGTCTCGCACAGCTTTGCTCTGCTGAAGGAGAGCTCTGCTGAAATCACACTGCCTCATCATTTCGGGAGATAGCAACAGTTTGTGTATTTTGGCAAACAATGAATAAATATAGCCTATTCCCCTTCTCTATAACATCCATGATTTTCTTATGCCTCTATCACCTGCTCTCCCCTAGTCCTCACTTTCTCAGAATCAGGAGTGCAGCTCTGTTTTTTTTTTTTTTTTTTAACTCCTTGAACTAGGGGGCCAGAACCTCAAGCAGCAGGAGTGCACCAGGCACTCAGAAATTTTCTGGTTTGACCTCAAACCCTTTTCTAGCAATTCCTAACATGCCTTTCCGTTCACTATTGAAGCCTAAGCTCTCTTTCCCAAATGGTAAACACCTAATCGCTAGCTCTGCCTGGCTATTTTGCCTCCTGTGTGATGCTCTCAGTTAGTAAAATTTGATGTCTTCTGCCTCATTAGCATCCAGCCACTCAATAGCATGATAGTCTTCTATAACACCTTAAAGAGGTCTCCAAAATCTTTTTGCTCACCAACTCCTCTCTCTTGACTGCCAGGGCATGCCTTGGCTCTGCAAACCCGTGCTGGTCTCTCCCTGCGGTACTTAATACGTCTGCCTCGTCACTCAGTTGTCCGCTAGGGTCCGAAGCAAGTTTTGGCCTGTGGAGCTCAGACTTCTGTAGGTAGGAGTTCCTTGGATCAGTTTTGGATGCTTGCTGAAAAGCATGACATCAAATCTGCCACATTACTTTCCTGGCTTGCCAGATTGTTTTTTGTCAAAATGAATTTTGTCTAAATACAAAATACCCTGCTAACTAGGGAAAATGTTGATATTTTATAAATAAGAACTTCTGAAAGTCAAAATACTGGCTGAAAATAAAAATATTTCATTTTTCAGCTTAGGTAACTACTATTTGAATTGCTATTCAGAAATCAATCTTTTCCACAAAAAGAAACATAAAGAAAACAGAATTATTCAAGTAGGCCTTAAAACAATGTCCCCTTACGTGCATGCACATGTACACAGGAAACCTTAACACCGAAAGAGAGCTGGCTGAAAGAGAGCGTTTGTCCAGAAATTGCTTATAGAAATTTGATATTAGGTGTGTGGTTATCAGCTTAGATAATCTACACCTGAAACTTCAGATTTCTCAATGTATATAACAAAACATGTTCTTTCAGTATATTCCTCAAGCACTAGGTTTGTAAAGGCACAGTATGGATTTCCGGGAGGCTGTGCTCTTGGATGAACATTGGAGACTGTGTATACACAAGCACTGTGCAAACTTGTCAGTTATTTGTTTTCTTAAATAAATTTGTTATCTTCTTTTTAGAAGAACAGTGATTCCATAGACATGGTACTACAGAAACAGGAGAGTTGAAGAAACAGGAGAAAAAGAGGGGGGTGTCATCCCACATCTGCACTTTCCATGCTTATGTTCTTGCAAAGCCAGACAAAAAGCTGGCTGAATGAGGTAATTATTCAGATAGCAGCATTAATCATTAATCATAGAAATTCTCTTTAACTGGGAGTTACACATTTCCACACCAAATGCAGAACATCTGCTAACTCGATGAGAAGTTTGCAAACGGGCTTTGTGCCACACTGAACCAAGAGCCTAAGCCAAGTGTTACGGAGGTGTTATTGGAAGTGATTTAGACGAGAAAGCTAGAAAAGCTCAAGCGGAGGCAGAAAGGGACCGCGGCGCTCCTGAAGCTGCGCCCGTGCACACACTCACGCCAACCGTTTGCAGGCTGCAGGACGCTTCCAGCTCTTGCAAGCGACAGCTGCTGACAATGCCCAGAAAACTGCACATCAGCCCTGGAGAGAGCAGAGACACATGCACAAAAGCTAGGGGTGCTTGAATCGGGGTTAGGACCCTCGTTTCCCTGCTCCGCCGTGGGTTTGCTGGCACGTGTTTGCCCCCTGTGCGATCCCAAGCTGTGCCAGGAAGCCGGTCCGGCTCCGGGGCGCTGGACACAGCCCCCGCGTGCTGCCCCATCGACATGCTGGCACTTGCCGGCAGTGGTCACTGCCTCTCCTGCTACTCTTTTGCAGCACAAACCCCAAGAAAATTGACCAGGAATATTTAACCAAAATTTAAAGATTGCAACATCTATGGACTAGAATGTCATGGCTGGAGTTCAAAAAGAGAGGTTATCACAGCCATCAGCCCTGGATTATGGGCAAACAAGCCACTCCCATGCAGGCCACGGCCCCTACCAGCAATTGTGCATGAGTGAACTTGCACCACTGCTGACCTGTCTGCGAGTATTTTGCCAAACTCCCGTTTTACTGCAGTGGCCTGGAATCCATTACAGCAAAGTAAAACCTCCCTTCTTTGGGCAGGGGCACCGAGTGGAGCGTCTTTGCACTAAAACCCACTTTTCAGCTGGATAGGGAGCCCTCCAGGTGGGCTGAGAAGAAGGTAGCACGCCTTCAACCGGACAGTGTCAGATCTACGGCTATATGCCGAGACCTACACGTACACCACCATCTCACAGCTACGGAGGGTCCCCATGCATTTACGTACAGCAGCGGTGCCCTGTGGGGCAGGAACACGGGAAAAGGATCCTTCCTGCTGCCCTGAATTGTGGAGTGAGTTTGCAGCTGCTCCCAGCAAGCGCTGGCTGGGGGGGGAAGGAGCAGAGGCTCCGACCAGAGCTGGACACTGGTTGGCTTCTCTTAATAAGGAACCCTCTTCACATTGACGGGACAGGGAGATTGTGGCATCCCTAAACACTGCTTGTCATAGCACCTTCCTCCTCAACTGTTCAGAACAATTGCTTTTTACAGTACCGCACACCTTTGTGCGGCTTGCTTTCTTTTCGCAGCAGGTTTTTAATGCTACTGGTAAGTGGGAGGAACCCCATTAAAGGAAACATCTCATCTTAAGTAAGTTGATTGTTTTTTCTGGGTAGTTTCTTTTGGCTACTGATTACTTCCAATGCATATTTTTGCTTGGGAACTAGTTAGAGCAGATTACTTTTCCCCCCTGCTGAGATCAGTCACTGCTAAGGAGCAAGTCTCACAAACTGTAATTTCACAGCTTGTATACCTAAGATTTTTGCAGGACTTCATAGCACCTGAGAAAGTCCCCTACCGTCTTACCAGGAGCTGCACATATTCTGCAGGCCAGTACTGCGACGTACGAACCGGGGCGCAGCAGATAACTCATGGTACATTCACATTTAACCACTCCACAGGAAATAAAGGAACAGCTCTGCAGGGACAGGCTATGTTGGATATGAAAAGGGATTATACATTTACTGTCCAACTGTGAAAGATTTCTGGACTACCATGCACTTTGCTGGATATACTGCTGGGTCCAGGGATAAGTCCTCTTTAAACGTTAACCTTTTTGTACAGTATGATGGCTTAAACTGTTGGGCAAGACTTTGTGGCTGCAAGGAGAGTCCCTGGTCGTCTTCCCAGCATCTCCAACTTGGAATCTGTTTGTGAGGCCAGGTCCCAAGAGCAGGAACCAGTAAATTAAAAACAAATGTATACAAACACCCTCAAGCCATCCGTAATGATAAGAGGACAGCTTCATTGGCTACATCGGTCCGATAAAGCCAGGCAGCAAGAACTTATGTCCGGGGCCACATAGCAGAAATAGTTATCTCCTCCAGGAGTCACCAAGCGAGTTTGTGTCTGCAGGCAGTGAGATAGGAGTGCCTTCGCCCTACGAAAGCACCATGCCTGCGTACATGGCAGATGGATTAGGGACTACGAATATGCCAAAAGCTAACTATCAAGTATGCGTGGGCACGAAGGACTCACGTTATTACCTGCTACACAGCTACTTTTGTGCAGTTCCTTATGCTGGCCCTGGACAGACCTTGCTGGATAAAGACTTTCCCAGGAAAAATTAGGAGGTGAAACCCTCCAGGGAACCCCCTAGTCATTCCATCACCCATTTGCTTATTCTGTTATATAGGGAACATATCTGAAAAAAGCCTAGAGTAACTGAGGTCTCCTGAGGACAAGATAAGGTCTCCAGACCCACAGGCAATATTCCGGCTGAGGCTACCGATTTCTACAATGCCATTCTACTATCACACCC